GTGGATAGAGCGTCGGCCTGTGGACTGAGAGGTCCCGGGTTCGATTCCGGTCAAGGGCATGTACTTGGGTTGCGTGCACATCCCCAGTGGGAGACGTGCAGGAGGCAGCTGATCGATGTTTCTCTCTCATCGATGTTTCTAACTCTCTATCTCTCTCCCTTCTTCTCTGTGAAAAATCAATAAAAATATATTTAAAAAAAAAAAAAAAAAAAAAAGATCTGGGGCCAGACGTGCACCCCCAGCTCTGTCTTAACCAGCGAGCTGTGCCCTTATCTGTGATGAGTATCGCTCCCAGGGGGGAGGTAAAGGATGAACAGACAGACGGATGGATGGATGGATGGAAGGATGGAAGGATGGACGGACAGGTGGATGGACGGACCTGGAGTAGTCAGAGCTCAGTACATGTCGGCTACATGTATTTCTCTGGTGGGGTCCCTGCCCCCAGGGCCCCCCCGACTCCCCCTCCACTGCATCTTCCACTCCATTAACCTCATGAAGCACCCCCCCAGGGCAGGTACACCCCCCCAAGTCTTTCCCGGAACCGGCACTTCTTTGTCCTGCTCTGCTGACTCCCAGAGTCCCCGCGCAGCGGCCCCAGCCCCCATGACTGTGCCCGGGAGACCCCCTCCTGGGCCCCTCTTCAGCGCCCCCGGCTTTGGGGACTGAACTCTGACCCCCATTCTTCCAGCCTGAATTCAGCCTGCCGGAGGGCACGGGGCCAGGCCAGAGGCCCTGGGAGGCTGGGGCCCTGGCGTGCCTCCAGGCGGAAGCAGCAAACCTCAGCAGAAATGTCCCGACGATGGGGGGACAACGGGAAGCAGGTTGGTGGCCCGGGAGGAGCCGGCTACAAGGGGTCTGGGACGCCAAGGCGGGAGCTGCCTGCGGAGAACAAAGGGGCCTTGGAAAGAAGGCCCCGAAGGCCCCGGCCCGCTCCCCCGTCTCAAATCCACACCCGGGGGGGGGGGGGGGGGGGGGGGGGCGGGGCACCAGGAATTGGCTGCAACTGCAGCCTGCGGACACCCCGATGCTGGCCTGGGCTCTGGGCTCCCCGGATGCTAAGGTGGACCACCTGATGCCGGGGGGTTGGGGGGAAGCCCTTTGCAGAGAGGTGTCCCAGGGGCTCTGCTGGCTCCTGTCCAGGAGGCCCTGCCCCTTCTCTGCCTGTGGAGAGCCCAGCCACCTGCAGAGCCCTGCGTGAGCTCAGGGCCACCTTCTCCGGGAAGGTCCGACACCCCAGAAGTGAGGTGCCCTCCCCGCCCCCATTCATAGCACTGACACAGCGCCCCACACTTGACCTGGTGCAGCCGGGGCGGCCCGCCAGGTCCCAGCCATGGCCCTTCACCGCTGACCCCCAAGCCTGGCCTGGAGAGCTCCTTCCAGAAACACCGTGCGAGTCAGGGAATCCACTCATGGATCTGATGTGCCAGGCGTCTTTTTTAAAAATATTGATCGCCCGAATCGGTGTGGCTCAGTAGATAGAGTGTCGGCCTGCGGACTGAAAGGTCCCAGGTTCGATTCCGGTCAAGGGCATGTACCTTGGTTGCGGGCACATCCCCAGTGGGAGGTGTGCAGGAGGCAGCTGATCGATGTTTCTCTCTCATCGATGTTTCTGACTCTCTATCCCTCTCCCTCTGTAAAAAATCAATAAAACATATTTAAATATATATATATGTGTGTGTGTGTGTGTGTGTGTGTGTGTGTATATATTATTGATTTCAGGGAGGAAGGGAGAGGGAGAGAAACATCAGTGATGATAGAGAATCATGGACCGGCTGCCTCCTGCACGCCCCCCACTGGGGATCCAGCCCACAACCCGGGCCTGTGCCCTGACTGGGAATCGAACCGTGACCTCCTGGTTCATGTCGATGCTCAGCCACTGAGCCACGCCGGCCGGGCCAGCCCTGTTTATCTTCTGCTTGGGCCACTGCAGCATACACTTCCTTGGTCTCCAGGCATCCGACCTCGACATCCTTCAATTTGCCCTCCATTCTGGCCACCAGAGGGATCTGGGCACCCGGCACCCTTCAACCTCACAGGATGTCCCGGCCTCAAGCCCTCTCTTTTTATACTAGGGGCCCAGTGCATGAATTCATGCACAGGTGGGGTCCCTCGGCCTGGTTGACGATGGGAGCCAATGGGGGCCATCTCGCCCAGCCCCAATCGGGCTGGCTGGCCAGGGGGAGGGGCCGCGGGAGGGTGGCCGTGGGAGCGCACTGACCACCAGGGGGCAGCTCCTGCTTTCAGCATCTGCTTCCTAGTGGTCAGCGCGTCCCTTGGTTGCTTAGGCTTTTATACATATAGATATAGACGAGTGGTCCGGTGCACGGATGCGTGCACATTGAAAGGAAATTAATTAGAAGAAATATTTTAACGTCGCTATTCGCCCTTTCTCTATAATGTGATTGGCGCCTGCGAGAGCTTTCTGTGTATGGCGCATGAGCAAGCCAACGTTTATTTTTAAATTGCCAGTGACCCTCAGATGTACCGGCCGGTCGGTGGGACGGTTGGATGGACGGTCGGTCAGTCACTTAGCCTTTCATATATATATACTAGACGCCTGGTGCACAAAATTCATGCACAGGTAGGGTCCTTAGGCCTGGCTGGCAATCAGGACCGATCTGTGGGGCGACCGGTGGGGCCATAGTGGGGCCCCCGCCCACTGGCACCCGTCTTGGCGGCCTGGAGCCTGGGGGCAGCTCCTGCCTTGAGCGTCTGCCCCCTGGTGGTCAGTGCGCATCATAGCGACCGGTTGCTCCCCTGTTCAGTCAATTTGCATATTTGGCTTTTCTTATATAGGATATTTTTTTTTAATTTCGGAGAGAAGAAGGGAAGGGGAGAGAGAAACATCCGTGATGATGAGAATCACTGGTCAGCTGCCTCCCGCACGCCCCCTACTGGGGATCGAGCCCGCAACCCCGGGGCATGTGCCCTTGACCCGGAATCGAACCCAGGACCCTGCCGTCCCCAGGCTGAGGCTCTATCCACTGAGCCACACTGACAAGGGCCGCCTCAAGCCCTTTCATTGTCTCCCCACCTACTAAGCCGGCCTCTGTCTCTCGGCCCCCCTGCAGGCACAGCAGGTCCCTGAAGCTTGCAGGGCCAACGTGGGTCCCCGGCAGAAAGCTTGCGAAACACAGCTTCCTGGGCCCCACCCCTGACCCCTGACCCCTGACCCCACGTCTCTAGGGCTGGGCCTGTGGGTCTCCATGTGGAGAGAGCCCGCCCGGGTTGCTGCGATGCCCGGCTTGGATCACAGATGGGCAGCCGGAAACCACCTCCCTTCTCTCACCCAGCCGCTTCGCATGGCCACTGCCCACTGCGCCACCCTGGCCTAGGATGCCCGGCCAGGGCCCCCCTTGCTTCTGCCCCCCCCCACCCCGCCTAACGCGGAAGCCACCGCCACTTGACACAAACACAAACGGGACCAGGGCGCCCTGTGCCCAAGCCTCCCCTTCTCACCAGGCGCCCCCCAAACTCACAGCTCCGTCTCGCCACAGCCTGTCCTTTCCCCGGCCCACAGTCTCGCGGGATGCTGGGTTCGAACACGGGGTACAGGCCCACAATCTCGCGGGATGCTGGGTTCGAACATGGGATGAAGGCCTACAATCTCGCGGGATGTTGGGTTCGAACACGGGGTACAGGCCCACAATCTCGCGGGATGCTGGGTTCGAACATGGGATGAAGGCCTACAATCTCGCGGGATGTTGGGTTCGAACACGGGGTACAGGCCCACAATCTCGCGGGATGCTGGGTTCGAACATGGGATGAAGGCCTACAATCTCGCGGGATGTTGGGTTCGAACACGGGGTACAGGCCCACAATCTCGCGGGATGCTGGGTTCGAACACGGGGTACAGGCCCACAATCTCGCGGGATGTTGGGTTCGAACATGGGGTACAGGCCCACAATCTCATGGGATGCTGGGTTCGAACGGGGTTGGGGGGGGGGCCCAAATCTCGCGGGATGCTGGGTTGAACTCGGGGTAAAGGCCCAAATCTCGCGGGACGCTGGGTTGGCTCCGCTGCGCACAGGAGGGTGCTGACGGGCGGGGTCAGGCTTCCCCTCTCGGCCCCCTTGGTCTCCGCACGCACGTGGAGGATGGGGATGCGGAGTGAGAACCCCGACACCATAGCTCCCAGTCCCTGGCGGGTCCGCTCCTTCATATCATGGATGTTCTCAAGCACACACCGAAGTGGCGAGCATGGCCCAACATGCTTGGCTCAGTGGGTGAACCTTGACCTCTGAACCAAGAGGTCACGGGGTCGGGGCACGTGCTGGGTTGCATGCTCCATCCCCAGTCCGGGGCGCGCAGGAGGCAGCCGGTCCGTGATTCTCTCTCATCTTGGATGTTTCTCTCCCTCTCCCTTCCTCTCTGAAATCAGTTTTTTAAAAACCCATATATTTTGCTATTATTTTTTAATCCTCACCCGAGGACATTTTTTCCATTGATTTTTAGAGAATAAAAGGGAGAGGGAGAGACACATGGATTGGTTGCCCCCCCCCCCTTGCCTTCCCCACACCCCCGACCAGGACGGGGAGCCTGCAACTCAGCCACCTGCCCTTCAGTCCCCAGGCGGAGGAGACCCTTCAGTCCCCAGGCGGAGGCTCTATCCACTGAGCAACACCGGCCAGAGCAATAAAAAAAATATTTATTTTCTTAAGTGGAGAGGATGGTGTAATGCCCCCCCCCCCACGTGCTCACCGCCCAGCTTCCACAATGATCCCTCCGTGCCCCCGTCCTGTCCCATCCAACACCCCAAGAACGGAGCCTGGGGAGCGGCTGGCAGGGCGCCCCTTCTCCCAGGTGCATCTCAGAGCGCTGGTGCCAGGCTCGCACCCTGGAGATCCCGACGCCCGGGGCGGGGCGCAGCGAGGGCGCAGGGGCTGGGGTCTCCGGGCTCACAGGGGCCGCGGGCCAGGGGCGGGGCCGGGGGCGGGGCGCAGGGGGCGGGGTGGGGGCGCTCTCCATAGACTCGGGGCGCGCGCCGGGCGCAGAGCGCAGTCTCCGCCGAGCAGCTCCGAGTCCGCCCGCCGCCGCCGCCGCCGCCGCCGCCACGATGCCCAACTTCGCCGGCACCTGGAAGATGCGAAGCAGCGAGAACTTCGACGAGCTCCTGAAGGCTCTGGGTAAGCGGGCGCGCCTGCTCCCCCGGCGAGGTGCCCCGAGTTCGCAGAGGCTGCGTTTTGGGGACCGACACCCCCCGCAGGAGAGTGTCGCGGAGCTGAGATCCGAGGCGCGGGGAGTGGAGCCCGCGCCCGCGCGCGTCCAGGCTGGGTGTCTGCGGGGCGTCTTCCCCGACGGCTCCACCTTCGCGCCTGTGCCTGGCGCACCCGGGGGAGAGCTGATTCCTGGGGTCCGAGGAGGGTCGGGGGCTTGAAATGTGGGGCCTCGGTGTGGAGCCCCAGGCCCCGCCGCGAATTCGATGCGTCTCCCGGGGACAGCCACTCACTCGCTCGCTCGCTCTCTCTCTGAGTTTCTCCGCTGGAAGATGGAGATGGGGGGAGCGGGGAGGTGCCTGGGAGGCGGGGGGAGGGCTTGCAGGATGCGGAGCGGCCCCCTGCGGAGGCGCCCACCCGCAGGCGGAGGGTGTGGGAGGCGCCCCCGGCCCCGCCACCCCGCCACCCCCAGCCCGCGGCGCGCGCGCTGCCCCGCAGGTGTGAACGCCATGCTGCGGAAGGTGGCCGTGGCCGCCGCGTCCAAGCCGCACGTGGAGATCCGCCAGGACGGGGACCGGTTCTACATCAAGACGTCCACCACCGTGCGCACCACCGAGATCAACTTCAAGGTCGGCGAGGGCTTCGAGGAGGAGACGGTGGACGGACGCAAGTGCAGGGTGAGCTCAGGGCGGGCGGCGCGCACCCCCCACCCGCCCGCCACCCCCGCTTTGCAGCCTGTGGCGCGCGCAGCCCCGCCGGGCGTGTGCACCGGCGATTTGCAGACCTCGGTGCAGCCGGGAGTCCTCGGCTTGGGGAGGGAAAAAGCCCAAAAGCCCTGCCCCTTCGCCTCCGAGCCGGCCCCTTAAGCTGCCTTCCCGGGTGCGGAGAGCCGCGCGCGCGCCGTGTTCCCGCGGGGGTTCCTGCAGCGCGTGGTGCGCGCGCGCGCGCGCGCGGGCGACCCGGGTGCGGGTGGCGGCGCAGGAGCAGGAGGAGGTGGCGGGGCCGCCACGTTTTCTGTCGCAGGTGGATTCGCAGCTCTGGGGTCCCGCCCCCACGTCCCTGTGCCCCTGGAGACGCTCGGGGCCAGTTTGGGCAGGTCTTGGGGGGCCCTTCCCTGCCCCCCGCACCTCTCCCGCACACCTTCTCCGGTTTCTTAAAGGAAAGGTGGAATCGAAAGGGGATTCTGGCTGGGGATGGACGAAGGGCTGGCGCGCGCGCTCTCTCTTTCTCTCTCTCTCTCTCTCTCTCAAGCATCCAGGGCAAGAGTTTAGCATTTCTCTGTCTATCGGCCCAGATGCACGCGGGGGTGGGGAGGGGGGTAAGCCAGGGGGTGCCCCTTCCGGTTGCAGGTGGGCAGGTTTGCATTGGGATGGTCCCCGGAGTACCAGGAGGGTTGTTCATGCCAGTCTTTCCAGGGCCGATGGCCACTTCCTTCAAAAGTGACATTTAAATGCCTTCCTGCCCCTGGTATTTTTTTTTCATTTTTTTATTGCTGTTAATTCAAGGAAAAAAGGTTGCATAAAATCCAACCTGTTCTAGAAATATAAGTGGGCTTTCCAGTACATAACATTTCAAAGGTACCCTTGACCAGAATCGAACCTGGGACCCTTCAGTCTGCAGGCCGACGCTCTATCCACTGAGCCAAGCCAGTCAGGGCCGCCCCTGGTATTTTTGTGGTTTTTTTTTTAAAGAAAAGCTGGTTACATTCCAGAGAGCGAGGCGGTGTTTTCGCCTTCCCTGAGTCTGACGTGCGGGGCGGGATCGCTGGGCACAGGGCTTGGGACCTGGACACCCAGAGGAGACGCGGCCCCAGGAGCTCACCAACCCCCAGGGCAACGCTGGGCCCCTGGAGCTGGCACGGCCTGAAAATGATGGCCAGGCTTGGGGGTGGGGGGTGGGAGCCGCTGTCGCCACTCCGCCTGGAAAAACTGCAGGCAGGGCTCGCCGGGGGGGACCGGACAGTGGCTACCGCCTGAGACGGTCATTCCGATTTAAGCCTGGAGAGTGGGGCTTTGTCCCCCATCCTGCCTGACCTGCCCGTGTGTCAGTTAAAAAAAAAGGCCGGGGTGTCCTGGGTCCCCATCCCCCTGGGCAGCTCTGCTTTGTGCAAATGCAGGGGAGACGGCAGGGGGTCCCCCTCTTTTGCTTCCCACCTCCTGCAGCAGGAGGACCCTTTAAAGCAGTGGTTCTCAACCTTCCTAATGCCGCGACCCTTTAATACAGCTCCTCAAGTTGTGGTGACCCCCAATTTCATTGTGACAAATGGAACACCATGAAAGCATCGTGATTAATCACAAAGACAATCTGTAATTATATATGTGTTTTCTGATGGTCTTAGGCGACCCCTGTGAAAGGGTCGTTCGACCCCCAAAGGGGTCGCGACCCAGAGGTTGAGAACCGCTGCTTAGAGGGCTGTTTTGTTGAATTTTTACTTTTTTTTTTTTTCTGGAGGGAGGTAACCTGGAAAGTGGCCAAGTTTTGTTTTGTTTTTATAATAGATTTTTATTGATGTCAGAGAAAGGGAGAGAGAGAGAGAAACATTCATGATGGGAGAGGATCACGGATCGGCCGCCTCCTGCACGCCCCACGCTGGGGATGGAGCCCGCAAACCTGGGCCTGTACCCTAACCGGGAATCGAACCCTGACCTCCTGGTTCACAGGTCGACGCTCAGCTCACGCCGGCTGAGCACCCCCAAGTTTTTATCCTCAGAGCCAGAGACACCCCGTTTTATCAGACAAGGGCGCCCAGAAACGGAGGGGTTCTCCCCGAATCTGTGCGGGGAGCAGAGCTCCTGCTCTGCCCGCGGATGTGGTCACGAACGTGGTGTCTCAGCCGTCGGAAAATTTTGCAGCTCGGACGTGTGGAGGTTCTCACCTTTAAAACCCGAATCGCCGGGCCCTGGCCGGTGTGGCTCAGTGGATAGAGCGTCGGCCTGTGAACTGAAGGGTCCCGGGTTCGATTCCGGTCAAGGGCACATGCCCGGGTTGCAGGCTCGGTCCCCAGTGGGGGGCGTGCAAGAGGCAGCCGATCAGTGGTTCTCTCTCATCATGGATGTTTCTATCTCTCTTTTCTTCTCCCTTCCTCTCTGAAATCAATAAAAATATATTTAAAAAAACAAAAAATCGCCAGGAAGGGGGTCCATGAACAAAGCATGGCGCGCTCTCAATTTTATTCCTGGAGCTGCCGAGCCTGCCGGAGGCTTTACTGCCTCGGTGCGTGTGTGCGTGTGCGTGTGCGTGTAATAGGTATATAGACACCCCATCAATCGGCAGCCAGCGCCCCTATGTGGACTCGGGTGCCTTGGAGGGGCCGCAGCCCTGCTGACGGGGACCCTGTGTTGCTTGGCTGCTCGGCCGGCCCTGCCCGGCCCCTCGTTGTCTGGGCTCCGGCTGCCACGGTCGGATGTGATGCGTGTCGCCCCTGCCTTTCCCGCCCCTAGAGTTTACCCACCTGGGAGAACGAGAACAAGATCCACTGCACACAGACCCTCCTGGAGGGCGACGGCCCCAAAACCTACTGGACCCGAGAGCTGGCCAACGACGAGCTCATCCTGGTGAGTCCTGGCCCAGATCCCCGGACGGTGCCCTCTTCCCCCCCCCCCCCCCGCGCGCCCGAACACCTCACCGATCGGGGCTCAGAGACACTGTCTGCCCCGGGTTAACACGCGGGCAGACAGCCCAGAGGACGTTGCAGAGCCGTGGGGCCGGGCAGGGGCTGGAGGTGGCTGTGGTCAGCACCCGGCCCGCCCCACCCCTGCGCTGACTCTCAGAGGCTGCCCACCCCCAGCTCCGGAGCCTCTGGCTCCCTGAGGGCCCAGCCTTCACTGTTTCCCCTTCTCACTGCCCGCTTTCCTGCCTGGGAAAGAATTCAGAAATGTATTGGTCAGCGCTGGGCGGGCGGGGTGGGGGGGGTTAGAGACACTTCACATCCATCCCTCTCCCCCACCGGCACTGACAGACCCCTGTGGCCTCGGAGGGCCGGACGTCGGGCTGATGTGGGAAGTGTCTTGGGGTGACACAGCGTGGAGGGTGGGGGGGGCCTCAGAACTGGAGAGCGGGGGCTCTATCCTAAAACTATTCCCATGAAAATGCTTTTTAAAAACATATTTTTATTGATTCCAGAGAGGAAGGGAGAGGGAAGGAGAGAGAGAGAAACATCCATGATGAGAGAGAATCACGGATCGGCTGCCTCCTGCACGCCCCGCACTGGGGATGGAGTCCACAACCCGGGCCTGTGCCCTGACCGGGAATCGAACCTGGGACCCTTCAGTCCGCAAGCTCTATCCACTGAGCCAAACCAGGTCGGGCTATAAACATATTTTATTTTTTAGAAAGAGGAGAGGCCCTAGCTGGTTCGGCTCAGTGGGTAGAGGATCAGCCTTCGGACTGAAGGGTCCCGGGTTCAACTCCGGTAAAGGGCACAGACCTCGGTTGCAGGCTTGATCCCCGGCCCCAGTTGGGGTGTGTGGGAAGCAGCCCATCAATGTGCCTCTCTCACATTCTCTCTCTCTGTCTCTCCCCCTTCCTTCCACTCTCTCTAAAAATCAATGGAAAAATATCCTTGGGTGAGGGTTATCAAAAAATACAAGAGTGTTATTTTTAAAATAATGATAATAAATATATGTTCATTGATGTCAGAGGGGGAAGGAGAGGGAGAGAGAGAGAAACATCCATGATGAGAGAGAATCATGGGTTGCCTGCCTCCTGCACGCCCCCCACTGGGGATGGAGCCCACAACCCCTGGCAGAATCGAACCGTGACCCTCCTGGTTCCCAGGTCGGTGCTCAACCACTGAGCCACACCAGCCAGGCACTTTCCATGTAATTGCAAAACCGAATCCAGGGAGCAGGGATTGCTGGTGTCCGCACGCGCCGGTTCCAGACGCAAAGGAGAACGGCCCGTCACATAACCCTCTACCCTGGCGGCCTCGCTGCCAATACAGGGCTTAAGGGAGGAAAAAAACAACAACAAAAAAACCCCTACTTGGTGCTGAACAAGAGCACGTGGCTTCGGAAATTGAACGTCTGTTTCGCAGCGTTTTTAACGGGGCAGTAAGCGGCCTCATTCGGGACCCGCGGTAACCGTTCCCTTCCCTTCGCAGACCTTCGGCGCCGATGACGTGGTCTGCACGAGGATTTACGTTCGGGAGTGAAGGCGGCCGCCCGCTCCTGCCTCCTGCGTGGACAGCGCGATGCATGTCCCCTCTCCCCGCCCCCCACCCCCATCCGAGGAATGTCATAGGTCTGAGCCGCCGTCCCCTCCCCGTGTCAGCGTTCGGCGGCCCCCTCTCCCCCTGCCCGAGCTGTAGTGGTCCCCCCAGGCCTCCGCCGGGCCTGTCCCTGGCGCTCCATAGTTTGGCATCTGCACGGTTTCATCATCATTAAACTGGTTGCACACATCTCCAGGCGTCTCCTCCTAATTTTTAAAAAATATTTTTACTAGAGGCCTGGTGCACAAATTCGTGCACGGGTGGGGTTCGGCCAACCCGCCTGATCAGGGTGGGAGGGGTCAGTTGGGGGCGGGGCTGGTCAAACTCCTGGTGGATCGAACAATTTGCATATTAGCCTTTTATGATACAGGATTGATTTCAGCGTTGGCCTGTGTGGCTGAGTGGATAGAGCATCAGCCTGCGGACTGAAGGGTCCTGGGTTTGATTCCCGTTAAGGGCATGTACCTCAGTGGCAGGATCCTCCCTGGCCCCGGCCTGGGTCAGGGCGAGTGCAGGAGGCAACCCATCGATGTGTCTCTCTCATCGATGTTTCTCTCTGTCTTTCCCTCTCTCTTCCGCTCTCTCTAAAAACCAATGGGAAAATATCCTCAGGTGAAGATAAAAAACATTTTTTTTAATTGATTTCAGAGAGGAAGGGAGAAAGAAACACCAATGATGAGAGAGAATCACGGATCGGCCGCCTCCTGCACGCCTCCCACTGGGGATGGAGCCCGCCACCTGGGCCTGTGCCCCGACCGGGAATCGAACCGTGACCTCCTGGTTCCTAGGTCCACGCTCAGCCACGGAGCCACGCCGGCCGCACAAGGTGTCTGCCTTCTTTGTACTGTGCCTGGTGTCTGCCCCCAGCCCTCCGCTGGCCTGGGCCTTGCGCTCAGCCTCAGCCGGCTGCCCAGGGCCGTGCCTGGCGCTATAGCCTGAAAGAGGGCAACGAGTAGGAGCCGTGGTCGCTCACGGAGAAACAGCCACTGACCCCACGCCCCCGTGTATGCTGGTGGGAGGAGGCGCGGGGGTGAGGGGACAGCAGGGGGGTCTCTGATGTTGCTTGGAACTGGGGTGTTAAGGGTCCTGACCTCTGACCTCCCACCTTTCAGTCTGTCTATCTGTTGTGCTCACTGGCCAAGCCCACCTGGAGTCTAGAGGCAGGAGAGGTGGGGGGAGGGGGGGAGGGAAGAAGGGGGGGGCAGGGGGGGAAGAGGAGAGGGGGGAGGTGCCGGCCACAGGAGTCACCCCCTAGGACACAGCCAGGCAGAGAACGGGTCCCCACATGCACGTAGACCGAGCAGTTGCCAGCGTTCATTTTTGAAAGATAGGAGATGCGACATAACGATCTGGATTTCTTTTACTTTTAATCAATACGTTTTTATTGATTTCAGAGAGGAAGAGAGAGAGAGGGAGAAGCATCCACGATGAGAGAGAATCACGGACCGGCTGCCTCCTGCACGCCCCCTATTGGGGTCGAGCCCGCAACCTGGGCCTGTGCCCTTGACCGGAATCGAACCCTGACCTCCTCTCCTGGTTCGTAGGTCGACCCCCAACCACTGAGCCATGCCAGCCGGGCTGCCAGATGGCTTCTTGGAGGAAGGAGGCTGGAGGGGGTGCTCTCAGGAGCAGGGGACCCTAGCGTCAGGGGTTCCCTTGAATCCCGTTTCTTCGTCATTTTCCAAAAAGCTACACCTCTCAGGGCACGTGAGTGTCCCAGGGAACCCAGTCCGGGAATCGCTGCTGTCATCTTCAGCCTTAACACAGGTGTGTGTGCACACGTCACACATGGCGTATGACGTAGGGAGCCCTGACCGGTGTGGCTCAATGGGTAGCACTTCCACCTGCCGACTGAAGGGTCCCGGGTTCGATTCCGGTCAAGGGCATGGACCTTGGTGGTCCCCAGTGGGGGTTGCGCAGGAGGCAGCTGATCGATGTTTCTCTCTCATCGATGTTTCTAACTCTCTATCCCTCTTCCTTCCTCTCTGTAAAAGATCAATAAAAAGTATATTAAAAAAAAAATTAGCCTGCTATCTTTGGTCAAATACTTAAATCAACTCACCCCTCACGCCTGGCAGGGCCAGACCAAATGGTTTCCAGGGCCTCCCTCGGCCCGCGGGCCGGACGTTCCCCACCCCCCTGCTCCACGCGGACCACGGACTCTGTACGCTTCTTTTGACAGGAAACGCCCTAACAGACGGATCCAGCGGCAGAGAGCACCGCGCTGGCTGCCCGCGGCCGGAGGTGGTGGGAGGGGAGCAGGGGGCGGGAGGGACCGTGACGGGGGTTCCTCTCGGGGTGATGAAAAGCCTCCGCAATTGATGGGGTGCTGGCTGAAGAGCTGGGCAAATAAACACGCAGAAAACCACAGAGCCGGGCGTTTAAAACGGGCGGATTGCGTGCCGTGTGAATTTTACCTATTATTTTTTATTTTATTTCGCTTTGGATGGCAAAGGTGGAAATTTACTGCGGAACAAGGACAGACTCCCACGTGGGGAGGGGCAAGGAGCCCCCGAAATTATACCTTCCTCACGAAGCTGGTTTTTAAGAGCATTTGAGATGCTGCCCGCCCGGCTGTATGTCGTCCGTTTGGCTCCAATAAACTCGTAAAAAATTCAAAAGAAAAACAAAGCCTTTTTTTTTTTTTTTAAGGAATGTGCTGATCTCCCGTGATGGGGAGGAATGCCGGGGAAGCGATCGGGGCCCCCGGACAAGGGGCCGGACCGCCCATTCTGCTTTCCTTAGGCAACTGCTCTGGGTCAGGTGACCCTTCTGGACCAATCACAGCTGGGTTAGGGCACACGGTTAGGGCACGGTGATTGGCGGCCCGAGTCATGTGACCTGTCCTGGCCCCGGCACAGAGCCCGCTGATCTACAAGTTCCCCTCCGGCTCATTTATTTTATTTTTTTGTGTTTTCCTGTTTCAGAGAGAGTGGAAGGGGAGGGAGGGAGAGAGAGAGAGAGAGAGAGAGACATCGATTGGCTGCCTCTCACACGCACCCCGACCAGGTACGTGCCCTTGGCCGGGATCGAACCCGGGACCCTTCGGTCCCCAGGGCTGATGCTCTACCCACTGGGCCACACCGGCCAGGGCTCGTTTTAATTTTTATTGCATATTTGTTGGAAAAACTGGTTGTCTGTCCCGTCAAGTTTCCCACTCGGGGTTTGGTTTTATTTAAAACGAGAGGCCGGATGCATGAAATTCGTGCAAGAGTAGGCCTTCCTTCCCCCGGCTGGCTGCCGGCACCGGCTTCCCTCTGGCACCCGGGACCCAGGATTTCCTCGAAGCCCCGGCTTCGTCCGGAAGGTCATCTGGAAGGACGTCCGGAAGGACGTCCGGCCCAATTAGCATATTACGCTTTTATTAGTATAGATGTTTTTTTAAATTTTATTTCAGAGAGAGGAAGGGAGAGGAAGAGAGAGATAGACACATCAACGATGAGAGATGTGTCTCTCACCTTTTTATTTTATTTTTTGTAAAAGGTGGTCAAAGAGAACTTACTGCTCCTTCTCTGAACCTACTTCTGATAGGGAAGAGGGGGAAAAACCACTAAGGCTCATTTGATTCCGTGTGTTCCTGGGAATTGGATTTTTTCCCAAAGTTTCTCACAGTTTTCACTATTCATTATGTTCCTTGTGAGAGTTTATGACTCAATATGTTTTCCCTACACGTTGTTTCCGAAGCCAACGCTTTCTTACGCTGGAATTCCCGAAATCCCACTCGCCCTGAGCGGGGCTATTCAGGGAGATCTTGATCGAATCCCCCCCGAGGGACCCCGAACCCCTCCCCTCACTCACCATAACTGATGAGCTTTCCTCCCTCGAGGAAACAAATGGAATTATAAAAACGGTGACTGTCATCTATTTTTTGGCTTATTAAGTACACGTCTCCAAGTCTGTAGGAAACTTTCCCAGAAAGACAAATTATCCACTTGCAGCGAATATCGCACATCATGTTTGCAGAATCCTCTTGGCCCAGGAATTATGCCGAATGTATTCCTCCCAAAGAATGGAACATTGAGCCCAGCCGGTGTGGCCCAGCGGTTGAGCATCGACCCAGGAGGTCAGGGTTCGATTCCCTTGGTCGAGGGCACATGCCCGGGGTTTCGGGGTCGATCCCCAGTGGGGGGCGTGCAGGAGGAGGCAGTCCATCCGTATCCATGATTCTCTCTCATCATTGATGTTTCTATCTCTCTTTCTCCTCCCTTCCTCTCTAAAATCAATAAAAATATATATTTTTTAAAAAGAAAGATGTCTAAGCTATGTTATATTTTTTTAATGAGTGATGATCGAGTTTAATAGGGAAAAAGAAAAACGATACAGTTAAGTTTTCCCAGGAAAAACACAAAACCTAGCCCAGCGGTTCTCAACCTGTGGGTCGCGACCCCTTTGGGGGTCGAACGACCCTTTCACAGGGGTCGCCTAAGACCATCGGAAAACACATCTATAATTACATATTGATTTTGTGATTGATCACTATGCTTTCATTATGTTCAATGTGTCACCATGAAAATCCATCCTGCACATCAGGTATTTACATGACGATTCATCACAGCAGCCACATGACAGCGATGAAGCAGCAGCGGAAATAATGTTATGGTCGGGGGTCCCCACAGCATGAGGAGCTGCATTAAAGGGCCGCGGCATCAGGAAGGTTGAGAACCACTGCCCTAGCCAACAAGCACCAAGCTGTTTGCAGCAGTGACCTCTGACCTCTGAGGGTTGGCTGGTGTTGCCCGCCCTCATTTCTGCGTCGTTGGGATTCCTTTAGAATGAGCACCTATTCCTTTAGTCATTTAAGACAAAATTTCTATTTGTTGTGGTTGCTGTTGTTGATCCTCACCCGAGGATATTTTTCCCATTCATTTTTAGGGAGAGTGGAAGGGAGGGGGAGAGACGCAGAGAGAGAAACATCGACGTGAGAGAGACCCATCGATGGGCTGCCTCCCGCACAGGCTCCAACCCACCGAGGCCGGGATCATCGAGCCCGCAACCGACGCACGTGCCCTTGACCGGAATCGAACCCGGACCCGTCAGTCCGCGGGCCGACGCTCTATCCACTGAGCCACACCGGCCAGGGCTAAAACATCGTTTCGTTTTAAAAAGTCAGAGCTTCTGCGTCTCTGGGTTTGGGCCAGAGCCTGGAAGTCTCACTTTCTGTGTCCCCGAGGGATTTCTACGAGCACAGC